AATTATAGCTGGTTACCATAAAAATATCACTATATCAGCCACCACTTGCTTACACCCTGAAATTAAACTTTGTTCATGCTGTTGATCTGGTGAAGGCTACAGGAAGATTTTACTTCTGAAATATGTTGCGTTGCAGGATTCTACTGGCACTTCTCTTTACGTCTAAGATCTACTTGAAATAGTGTCACGGCATCTCTTTACATGGTATATCCCTGAAAAAAATATTTTTCCTTTCTGGGCCAGTTTGAAAAGTTATCCGCACTTTGCATTGACCGTCATTTAACTTTTGTCAGTATCGACTTTAAAGGGATTGTGTAGGGTTACCTCCTTACATATTTTGCGTAGGAAGTCCGCTTCGAACTCAAGATGCACTTGCATACAATACATGCTGCTATGGTCACTTTCATTCAGTACCTTATGAAATGGGCTGTACTTCCATGCTTATTTGTAGTATGCTTTGAGGAAGGTTGAATGCATGCGGCAGACCTGTCTATCTCCTTCGCAGGCGGACACACTGAAGGAAAGGTATCAGAAGATTGGTGATACCAAGCGGGCGACCCCCGTCGAAGTTCTCTGTGAAAGCTTCCCTGGTGAGTCGTATTTCTGTTCCGTACCACTTTGGACGGATGGTACCTTCTTAATGCTGCACTGTCATTTCACAGCATATGCATTTAAAACATTATTTCTTTCAGATCCCCCCCCCCCCCATTTTCATTCCCAGTCACCTGCGTTCACATACCTGTGCGCAGCACTTACACCCCCCCCTCATGCTTTATAATGGAGTCGTTACACTCATCCATGTCTGCCGGTCAGCTTCCGGCTGCTTTGGTGTTGGCCGATGGCATTGCTTTATCACGCAGTGTAATTCTTGCTCTCTTTTTTTTTTTTTTTTTTGGAGTAGCTAAAATCAGATGGCCCCGCCCACCATCCTGAAGGAGAAGCACCTCCAGCATGCTGTTCTCTGGCGTCTTTCTAGATTTGCATCCATTTCTTGTAGATCATAAAGAATAGTTTCCTCTCCTTCTTTTTCTGGTCTGCAGAGGAAATGGCTACTTATCTGCGCTACGTGAGGAGGCTGGACTTCTTTGAGAAACCTGATTACGACTACTTAAGGAAACTCTTCACTGACCTCTTTGACCGGAATGGCTACATCTTCGACTATGAGTATGACTGGGTTGGAAAGACGCTTGTGAGTGTCAATCCTCGCCTCTATCCCGACTGTCCAGTCGCTCGTCTGCAGTCAGTCGCCGATTAGCTTCTGACAGCTGCTGCTTCTTGCAGATTCTTACTGTCCCACTCTCTATGCTAACTTGGAAGGAGTGGCGTATTGATATAAACTATCAAGCTAGGCTACACATTGATCTGAGCTGTTTTTGTTCTGTGTGCAAAAGGCAAAAAAGCATTTTTGGTTGTGGAACCTGACAGACTGGAGGTGGTTGGTCATGTTGTCATAACTATGGTTCCCCCAGGTCTGAAGGCCTTCGAAGCCCCCCTCCACCAGCCCTCTCCCCACACACACACACAAACACACACACACACACACACACACACACACACACACACACACACACACAGCCTGTTTCTTTTGTCCTGTTAGTACTTCTGTAGGGGTTCTTCTGTAGGAAGCGGTCTGCACTGAGGCTATTTTTAGGCTCTGCTCTGTGTATTTGTTTTGAACTTCCTGTGTTGCCCCCCAGCCCACCCCGATCGGCCCCATCCCCAGCGACACACCCCTCCAGCCCAGCAGCAGAGACAAAACACAACAGCAGACCAAAAATCCGGTAAGCGCCGGGGTCCCGCCTCGCCTCGCTCAAGCCCTGACGGTTTGGGTCTGCTGGGACCTCACTCTGCCTTTTATCCCTTTAGCACAACCGGGACGGAAATGTGAGTCTGGCTTGTAGCATCAGCGACGCTGAGATCGGGGCTTACGACTGTGATCTTGTATCTCCTTGGTTGCACTGCCATAGCGTGCAGCGTCTCATTAAGATGCTGACACGGGTTCAGTTACGAAGAAGCATCTCTGGATTCCACAGCGTGTTCAGCTGCAGCAGTGCACTGGACAGTGTGCAGTGCCCTCAGACGTATTAACGCGTCGCTGTGTCTTTGTGGCTTGCCACTCAAATGCTGTGCCGTCGTCTATTCAGGTCCTTGTGGCCAATGAGGGTGGCAGTGGTGTCATATTTGTCTATTTATCTATGTGTTTGTTTATTAATGAACAAGCCAAATGTGCATAAAGATGTGATGAACTTTTTTGTATAAACTCGTCCGCAAGTCAACTCTACATGGAATTCATTAGGCACTGAAGTACGAAGGATGCCCTGAGCAGCGACCTCGGGGCTAAAGACATTCTCGGAAACCACGCGTTGTTTGTCCGGATTCCGATAAGCTCAGCTTCTGGCCTGAACTTGACGTTGATGGATGTCGCCGTTTCGCATATACGAAAGACCAGATGCATAAATAGCGATGTTTTGAAGATGAAATTCCGCTGAGAATTAGCCTGCCTCATAATGGCCAGATGGGTTTTTATTTGCTTGCCGGGATCTTTAACGATCACATTAAATTCTGCGTAACCAAGAGCATCCATACAGTGGCAGCACTACGTTTGGAGCTGTCAGGTCTTCATTCTCTCTGCATGCTGTCTTCTCCACTTAATTCCCTCTTCCATAGCTGTTGCCTTGGTTAACATGCCTGCTTTTGCATGCGATATGTTCTGTAAAATTTTTTTTTCTTATTCACTTCTCAATCCCCAATGAAACCATCTCTGACCCCCCCCCCGCCCCCCCCGCCCCCTTACTACCCCCTTTCCTGTGGGCCGTCACCAGTCGCCCGAACCCAAAGGAAGTGAATCGCAGCCCACACCAGGGACCAATAGGGAGCTCTTGGGGTCTCATCTGACATCTGATAGGCTGGGGGGCTCTGTCCAGGTACCGCTAGCTGCATGGCCTGCATGGTCGTCTCCTTTTGTGTTTTAGCTCAGCCACACTTAGCTGCTGGCTCGGCGTGGATGAGGCCATGCCCTGGTCTTCATGGTTCCTGCAGTTCCTGCAGTACATGCCCGTTCTGTCCTCCTGCTCTAGAACATAAATTTAACTATGATTAAAATTCACTTGTCAGCTCTGGTACTTCGATGGATGGGAAGTTTTACATGGAGTGCAGTGGTCGTCTGTACACTAGAATAGCTTGTCTGGTAATCAGAAGGATGCAACAACTAGTTACTTGTTTTCAGATTTTAGCAGCAGTGGTTCAGGTAAACCAGCACCTTTTATCATTCACCTATTAGCCATATCTAATGGCCATTGAAGTGTAGGATATTTATACTGCAGCACAGTGTTTGGTGCCATCTAGTGTTGTGTTCTGAAATTGCACTGTTGAGTAGTCGGCGTTGCCTGATTTCAAATGACTCGTCCTGTTTATTACTCTAGTGAGGCCACTTCGTCATTCAGGTCCAAGCAGTGACTGTGAGTAGCTTTTGAACAGTCAGTCCAATCAGCTGCTGTATTTTAATAGATTACTAATATCTCTATGATTAATATCTCCACCACCATGTACGTTGAGGGCTCCTTCAAACAGTCCCCCGCTTGGTATCCCTGCGCGGTTCACACCCTGACGTCCATCAGACGCTCCTCCTCCTGACACCCATGTGTGTTGTGCATGTTCAGGTGATGAGCTCCACAAACGGCGAGCTGAACACTGACGACCCCACCGCCGGACACTCCAACGCTCCAATCACGGCGCCAGCCGAGGTGGAGGTGGCCAATGAGACGAAGTACGCAGCTTCCGCCTGTGGCGTTCCCACCCTGAGCCTGCCGTTGCATCCCTCAGCGATCGCTATTTCTTGTATATGATTGTTGTTGTTGCTGACGTCTGGATCGGCTGTTCATTTGCGATTGTAGTCGGCTTCTGCTGGCAGTAACCCTTTCCCTGTGCTTGTAGGTGCTGTTGTTTCTTCAAGAGGAGGAAGAGGAAAGCCCTCCAACGACACAAGTGAAGAGGGGACATCAACGTGAACTTGACGCATTCTGCTTACTGTCTAGTTTTAAACGGGAGCTTAACACACAAGACGTTACCCATCCATCCTCTGGTCTTTCGATGATGCGACCTGTCTACTGGCGTTAACAGGATCAGAGCTGTCCCAGCTATGCGCTGGGTCGTAAAGCAGACTGTGGTTCCTTTACTGAAAAAAACAAAAATATATAAATAGGTAGGTTAAAATGTGGGATTCAATAAAAAAGATAACCCTAACGATACAAGATACACCTTGAAGTGAATATATATAAAAAAAAAAAACTGCTGTTTGAAACAGTTATTGTTTCCTAGGTGTAATGCGGAACTTGTGATTTTATCTGGTTGGAGAGACATAAGCAGATCAAGCACAAGACATGTGATCCATAGAAATAGTTACTCATGGGATCGAAGTCAGAGGCAATGAATGAACTATTTAAGTAGTGACCCCAGCATCAGTGAGAGCACCAAGAGCATCGCGTCTGTACCTGCATCGAGACGTGTGTAAATTCATTTTTCTTTTTGTAATTTAAGTTGTCTGAAGGTCTGCTCTCGTTGTACTTTCATGCTGTAGCATTCTGAAATTTCTCTTTCCACCTGTTTGTTTTAACTTTGTTTCTTTTATTTTTATTTTTTTGGTAAACGTGGATTTTGTAGCATGGTCGCTGGCCTTGAATACTGTGCAAGACAAACAGATAATAGTCTCACACTTTTGACAAATCAGAAAAAAGCAGGAGTGAAATATCTGGTTTGAAATGAACAAATGAAAAAAATGGATGAGAACTGTCATAGGAAGATTCCTTTATCAGGGACGCTCTGTATGGTGGCCAAAATGACGGGGAGGATCATGTTCTGTTTAGTTTTATTTCTCACGTCAGAATGATTTACCAGGAAAAAAAGAAAACATAGTTTGTGCCTTTCCGAGTAAAACGTTAAAAGCTGAAGCCTGTCTCCCGCAGTGAGTGAAATGCGTCTGTGTGTCAGTCTGTGTGTCCCGTCCTGCTGCCTCTCCACACTCACCTCTAGGCCATGCTGTCGCCACTCTGCGATGTTGATCTGCCTCTGCTATGACAATCATGGAATGTTCCAGACATTGAATGTTGGCTTCTGGGCTCTGTTTCTGATCATGGGAGTTCTGGAGGCTCTTTTTAATGATTTAAAATTTTTCTGTTTAGTCTGAAATTGTTAGTCTGTACAGCAATCAAAGCCGTGACTGGAGCTGTGGATGATTAAGGTAAAACACAAAGTTAATTATTCATTTAAACTAAAGCAGTGTTTCCCAATCTGGTCCTCAGGAACCCCCACATGGTCCACGTTTTTGCTCCCCCTCAGCTCCCTCCCACATGGTCCACGTTTTTGCTTCCTCTCAGCTCCCTCCCACATGGTCCACGTTTTTGCTCCCTCCCACATGGTCCACGTTTTTGCTCCCTCCCACATGGTCCACGTTTTTGCTCCCTCCCACATGGTCCACGTTTTTGCTCCCC